AGCCAACTGGCATTTCAAACTAATGGTTCCAGCTAAGCCTTTGCAGAAAAAGCACGTGCAGCTAAAGCTAATTGCTGGAGGTAGTGTCAGCTGGTGGGTGTAATCATCTCCAGGCATCCTGAACCTGGGTCTTTTTCAGTTATCAGCCTGTTATCAGGTGTTGTGGGTGGTGGCACTGGGACCCCCGCGTGCTCTGCCCTGTGACCTGCTGGATGAGTCAAAGCGCTGCCCCTGCCGTGGGCCAGCAAAGGGCCCGGCCCAACCTGCCCTTTGAACAGTGTCAATGTGCTCTTAAGAGGCCTGATGCATGCACGGTGTTTGTCTTTTCTCTGAAAACCCCTCTTTTTGAACAAGGAGCAAGAAAGAGGCAAATTCAGTTTTACAGTATACACAGTTTTAATACCAAAATTTTTTATGTACACTGTACTTCATTTTACTCCATTACTTATCCCCCTCTCCCCCTGCCAGAAATTGGCTCTTGAAACATGATTTAAACACCATGAACGTAGGACTTCTTTCTCATCTCTGGTTGCTAAGCTGGTAGAATAGTTCACTCACTAATGTTTTCCTGATGCTGAAAGAAACTGTGTGTATTTTTTTTTTTTTTTTTTTTTTTTAAACTTAAACCCATGTTTACGTACCCTGATGTCTTTTTACATTCTTCCACATTTAATTGATTTTCAGTGACTGAAATTCCAATGTGAGTTTTGCCGTCTGCAGTGAGGTTTGGTTATAGCCTGCAAGGCTTCCCTTGCCCTTTCCCTAGCTCCTTCGCACAGGGTTTTTTCTTTGCAACGTGTGAACTGGCTGCAAAATGGCCTTTAAACATCCTCCGAACATGGTAGCTTAAAAAGCAGCCCTGGCTCTGTCCCACGTACGTGGGTCTGTCCCTTCTTTGGAGGGATGAAGGACATGGGGAGGAAACAGCCTGTGGCTGCTGCCAAACTGCCCTTCGCTTCTGCTGTTTGTTCCTTGTTATTTATTTTCCCGGAGAGGAGAAACACTGCATTCCTCTCTGAAGCCTCATTTTTATGGAAAAAATCATAAGAAAGATGAAATCTAGCTTTCTGGGTAGCTTTCATAGGTCTGAACAGATGGATCTTAACAGCTATGCAGATCACCACTCGCATCAACTTTATTTTCATTGAAGTAGCTCAGAAATTAACTTAGGCACATTAAAAAACACCCCAAAGCCAAGCGTTTAGCACAGATTTCTGCTGTAAAGCCCCTGGATACTTGCTGCTTTCACGTGTTAGCAACAGGCCGCTGCCTTCCAAGGCGAGCGGGCATCAGCTGCAGCACGTGGATTTGCATTCAGGCTCGGTTTAGCTGTGGAAAATCAGCTAAGTTCTGCTTTGGGGAAAAACAAAGCAGAAATGGGTGCAGGAGGAGCCTTGGCTTTGCACAGGAGTGCTCGTCCAGTCTGCTCCTCACAGAGGCATTTTTAGCTATGTGCATTTTGCAGAAAAGTAATGCAGAGCAAGAGTGGAAGCGGCTGCGTGAGCAGAGCCCCGCTCCGAGGTGGTGACTGCACGGCCGAACTTGGGCTGCCGGCTCTGGATTCCAGCGCGGCTGGTGCCGGGAGGAGGAATCGGAGCAGCAGCCGGGGGAAAATCCGTGCAGCTGCGGGAGGTCCGAGGGCAGCAAAGCTCTTGGGAGCCACAGAAGAAATGCCCGGGTTGGAATGCGCCGACCATCTGTGCAGGGCTGTGCCCGCAGGGGAGGAAGCACCTGAACTCCGGCTATGCAGGACAGCTCGTGCTTTGGGAGAGCCACTTAGCAACCTCTTGGCATCGGTGTTCACCCTAAAGTGCAGGCAGTTGGAACCAAGTCACCTGGGCTTGTTTTTCATGCAAAAATTCATTCGAAACTACCCAACAAAGCAGTATCCGCGTCCTCTCGTTGCATGGACGAATTGCAAGCGGTTGGGAATGGAAGACGGAGTAAGTCTAGAAAAAAATGAGCCTCTGGTTGTGTCCTTGGGTGGTGTGATGGCTTAGCCTGCAATTTTGTGCCCCTCTTGGGGGAATTTAGGTTGTTTTTGCTGCTGGCATTTGCCTGTGGGCAAGTTTTCTGGCCCCCTCAGTGCCCCACATAGTGATTGCCGTGAGGCTGGTGGCAAAGGACCGGCCAAAGCGTCGGGCAAAGGCAAAGCTAATGCCACGGTGCTGGGCGCACGGCCGAGCCCAGCCCCGCTCCAGAACTGCTCGGAAATGAAGGCGCTGCAGGGAAGAGATATTGGGCATCTGCTTTTCTTGCTCCGAGACGCTGGAGCAATGCGATTTGCCTGGATAAGGCTGGTACGAGCGGATTGTGGTTGGGATTAGCAGATGGGGCAGAGAAGAGGTTTAAATTCAGCAGTGCCAAGTGGCTGGAACATCTGTCTTTGCTCTCGTTAGGTGCAACTAAGCTAATAAAGGTGCTTCTGCACCGGGTTGGCGCTGTTGGATAGGCAAGGTCCCCAGCAGTGACCTCGGCGCTGGGAGCAGGCTGCAGCATCTCTGACCCTCCTGTGCTGTGGAAGACCCCCGTGTCCCCTCCTGCACCCTGACAGCACGAGCTTCTGCTGGAGAGCAAGGCTGACGGGGCCTCTCCTGCTCGCGGAGGCGGCTGAGCACCTTGCAGCTCCGTTCTGCCCTCTCGGAGCCGGTGACAGCAGAGCAAAACGACTTGCGTGCCCGTGCCAGCATAGCTGAGGAGCTCAGCTCTAACCCCTTCTCTGCTGCTGTCCAGGGTGGTGCTTGAAAATCATTCCCAAAATGACCCTGCCTTCCACTACCCAGCCCCATGGGCCACAACTGGTTAAAGCGAGGGACGGGCCTGGCCCACGAGCAGGTTGTGGTGGCCACGAGGCTTGTGCCCATCTGCTCGTGAGCTTTCCTGCTTGGGAGCACGAGCAGGTCTTTCTACAAGCAGCTCTGTCCACTTAGATACCAATACATTTCTTTACATGAATATGTTTTTCATCCTGGGTCTGGCTTTCTTGGTCAGAGGGGATTTAATCGTATGGAGCCCACTTGCCTAGCAGGATTTAATGTGTTCAGCCAAAAGTAAGTCATTGTGGGGAATAGGGGTAGGGTCTCTTCATAGCATGAACCATTATGGGGGCTAAAGCTGCTTTTAGGAAAAACTTCACTGAATCCCTTCCCTTGCAGTAGAGAAGGGCAAGGAATAAACAAGAAAATATTTGCTTTAGCGTAAGGGCACTCTGGTGGAAAAGTAAAATGATGATGGGCACAATTAATATCTTCAAAACCAGAACTTGAAAAACCTTTATGTAAAATCGGAACAGAAGTCACACTTATCTTGCTGTAATTGTCCTGGACGAATTCATTTCACAATAAAACATCAAACTGCCGTATAATTGCACCCTAAATACCTCACTAAGTGGTAATACAGATATATAAAAGCAGAGTGAAATAGCAAACAGGTTTTTTATGCAGTGATTTTTCTGTTTGAAAAGTTTGCAGAAGAGTTTGGTACAACACATAATTAGCATACTGTAATTACTGATTTGCTCAAGGTATGTCAACACTGTGAGGAATTTCTGTTCTTCATCGGTGTGTGCTGGTAATTGTTGAACACTGCAGCATTTGACACGACACGTTTTTTTAAATATACATACATGTACATCTATATATTATAGGTATATAAAAAAATCCATCCCTCTGATCCTTTTGACTTTGGTTAGACTGTTTACAATACTTGAACAGTTGACTTAAAAATAATGTAATCCTGTGCGGCCCCCCACCCCTGTGGCATCTCAGTACCACCGTCTCTGCATAGATCTGCAAATATTTACATATAATTTCATAATATAGTATAAATAGCAATATGGTACTCCTAGGTAAAGAAATCAAATCACTGCTTAAGAGCAAGAGGGGTGAATATATATATATATTTATATGTTTTTTTTTTAAACAGCATACTAGCTCAGATTCTGTCCCACATTAAAAAACAAAACATTTTTCAGTGAACTATTCTATAAATTGATTCTGGTACGTTATCTTCTTGGAAGGGAGGCATTTTCCGACCTGGCAATTCCCTGGAATGGGGGAAGATGTGAGGGTTTCCCGGGGAGCCTCTATCCCGGCGGCGAGGCCGGTCTCCCGAGAAACCAGGGGGGTCAGTGCAGGGAAAAGGAGCCTCCAGGCGGGAGGAAGCTCGGCCGGGGGGAAGGGAGGGCTGGCAGGGGGACAAAGAGAGGCTTCTTCCTTCCTCCTCTCTCCTTCTTAGCGCCGCAATTGATATTTGCTTTTAATTAAGAAAAGAACAAAATGCGTCCAGGGTATTTACACATGAAAAGGTGTTGAAATAATGTTTGTTCTTAGCCGGGAGCAATTAGCCCGGCTTGGTGAAAAGCCTTCGGAGCCCCGGGAAGAGCTGGGCGCGTTTGGCGTTCCCCGGGGCCGCGCTGCACCCAGCCGCCCCCAGGGAACGAGCTCTGCAGGCGCCTCTGCGAGCGGGGGAATCAGCCTCCCTCATCCGGGATCGTGCAGGCTGCTCCCCTCTGTGATTTTGTTCCTTTTCCCTCTTTCTGAGCAATATTTAAGCAAGCCAAACTATCGTTACGGAGGTAGGACAACCTGTTTAATTATATTTCCCCGCTGCACTTTAAATGCCCTCCCTGCACCTTGTTTGCTTCTCTTTGCCTCCGCTTTTGCCTCAGGGCACCTTCTCCCAGTTGGAAAAGCAGCCCCCGGCTCTGCCTTGAAAGTAAACGGAGCCGCCTGGAATGTTTGGGATCGGGAGCGGATGGATGCGGAGGAAGGAGCGGAGCAGCTGTTCCCCCACAGCCCTGGGCACAGCCACCTGGCAGCCTTTCCTTAGCCTATGTCCATTAGAAAAAGTAGAATATGGAGACTTCGGTATAAATGTTTACACACAGTCATATAATTACATAACATGAAACATTTTACAGGTTGAGGTGAGCATCTCTTTAGACTTTTAAACAGCAGAAGTGCAAATTTAATGTAATCATTGCTTTTTTTTTCCTCTTAAACACTGAAAATAGTATGGATTTATTTTATTTCTTTAAAAAAAAAACTTAAAAATACGGCACCACTCCATAAACAATGTTTCCATTAAGTCGGCTTGGAAAATTAAGCTTTATGTCAACGTTTGTAAAAATTAGAATCTGCTGTAGGTCCCCTCCACTGGGAAAATAGGTTACTTATCTGCTTTTAATCTGCGGCAGCGTCTCGGTATTATACTTCACATTCTTTGTACGGCAGCTGCTGGCACTTGCATTGTCCGTAGCCGTTGATGATGATGAAGGGTCCTTCGTGGGTGGGTTCGTACTCGTTGTACGGTCCCTGGTCTGACATACTGGCCATATGCAGCCGCGTTTGGGAGCGCAGTTGCCTGTGGTTTTGAATCATTGAGCACTGCCTGATCCTTCTCAGTGTGGGAGGGCAGCACTTCCTGGAGATGAACACTATAAAAATGATAAAAAAGAAAGAGAACAATAAAGCCATTGTCCCTGTGATCACCCTCTGGGTGAAGATGGCGTTGCTGGGCTCGGGGAAGGGCTCTTCGGTGGTGACCACCATGCCCGCCGTGGTCGGCGTCTCCTCGTCTCCCATGTGCAGGTGCGGGGAGCTGACGCGCTG